CATAGTCTGTGGCCGTAGAATTCTTATAACGTTCAAGCTAAGGATGCGACTAGGGGCTAGATCGCACAACAATCTGATCCTTACTCCCATGCAGAAACCTTTCCCCAAACCAAACTCGGAACTCAGCAGCTCTTTGCCATCCTGCATCAGACCTTGCCACTGGAAAGAACCAGAAACACCCAACACCTCTGGACACTACCAAGGTTCCACACAGCCCTGTCATAACATAAATGTAGGTGTGCCTGCCATGCGCAGTGCTGGGCTTAACGTGGCCGGCGCAGCGCAGCCGATAGATTCAACCTAGCTTTTCTGTGTGGAAGTGGCAGGGTTGAGCGTTGTTGGGCTTAGCAGTAAAAATTGGGCTTTGGCCCTTTGAAATCGGGATTGGGGTTAGCTACATCAAAGCGAAATTCGAGAAGATGAAGCCACTAACAAGACAGAAGTTGTGCTATGTTTGACTGGAGTGGCGGTTTCTTCACAACCCTTTTGTGCATGGATAGTTCCGACGGATACCTTGGGCAAGGATAGCGCTATATATGCAGTCACGGAAAAACTGATTGCAAGAACATGTCCAGGCCTCGCAGACATTTCCATAGGAATTAATGGAACTGTCTGTGAGGACCTCTTGACATTGAGGATGGCTAAGCAGCACAGCGCTAGAGGTAGAGAACCAGTCAACGAACAATCCTGCCACGAACTTTGACAGCTAGGGCCCAGCTTGGTTCTTCGCACGATTGGTGGGGACAGCTAGCCTCATCTAGCGCAGAAACTGGGCTTTCTTGTAGTTCTTCTAGGAGCTGCCATGCCAGGTTTGGGCCCTAAGAAGCAATGCTAGTCCAGCCTAATCCATTGCCCCTACCCATACAGCAGTAGCACTCTTTGTTTCACATGAGGGGCTGCCTGGGCTGCGTACTGTAACGATGCAGGGACCCCTGCAAGAAGCCAATTCTGAAAGGCAGGTGTAGGGGCTGTTGTTCAAGACTGCGGTGGATACTGTCTGGATTCCCTTCACGTTCCCGCACCTGCTATTCGGGGTATAGAGCTGCAACTTGCCCTCATGACTCATGACGCTGTGGGGTCCCTCCCACAACTTGATTGCCACCTTGTTGCAGCATCTTTCAGAGGAGCCGCTCAACCTCCAGACCCGAAAACCTTGGGTTGCAGTTTTGCTGTCCAGGGCTTGCAGGAGTAGAGTTCACCACTCGCGGCCCCAACTTCCTGAGGAATGCCCCTATGCCCTAAAAACAAACTTAACCTCTGCACACTGAAACCACCACTATGACGAATCCATGTTAGGGCCATCGTGTGCATGATATGTCACCACCTGTTTTGTCTTCGGAGCGAGGTGGGGTAATTAAGCAAAACCTTTGCTGTTCTCTTCCGGAAAACCTTTTTCTTGATGGAGCCACAGGGTGCAGGTGCTATGCGAAAACAGGCGCTGGTCAGGTGAATTGAAACTACATGAGTGATGCTGGGATTGCGCCGCGCGGGTTGACACACCGTATCCCTCATTGCCATGCAGTTTTGCCAGCTCAACACTCCAGTTGCAATGCAGCATCCATCAAGGTGAGACTCTCAAGCTGGACAAACAAGGGGCTGATTCACATTGTTCGTCTAGGACCTCAGGCTGCTGCAGTGGCTTGTTATACCGCGGATCCTGCCTCAAGAACTTTCCGCGGTAGACATGTATCACGTTGTCCCTGACTTTTCTGAAGACCAGAGGCAGGGGCAGTTGAGGTAGATGTTCCAAGCCTCTGCAAAGCACTTTTGTGACGTCTCCGGTTGCCGCGTGGCCGGCCTTGCAGGCATTGAGCTGCAGCTTCTGACACAACGTGCTTCCCCAATCCCTTGTGCATTGGTCAAGATGGACGCGCATCCCCTGCAGTTCTGCTGATTCCTGAAAAGCGAGCCTCTCCCGGCAGGCGTCGTACGTCGTAACAAGCAGATCCCTTTCGGATGGTGGAGCTATTTTCGTTTGAATCTCTTCAAGGGGAATGAGGTTGGTCAAGCTGCCTTTGACGTTGTCCGATGGTGCCAAGAGTGAGTAGCCGCCCATGGAGACTCCATGAATACCGCAATGGAGCCAAATGAAGCAGGGCCCTTCCTCAGAGATCTGGCTCTTCAGCTCTTCGTAGACAGCTGCCAGGTCTGACTTCTGAAGGTCAGGCCGGGCAAGCAAGGTGAAGCCATACTTTTGCAAAATTCTGAAAAGTTCCTGGCTCTGGCTTTTGCTGTCATGCAGATCTGACCACTGGTCAGCACAGCGCGCCTTGAAACATTCATCCTTTGAGCTATGGCGGGAGCAGGTATGAGGGTATTGCTCACAGCTCAGGCAGACCAGGATGCGCTTGGAATATCCTCCGTTGCTCGGGCCTCTGCAAAGATGCGAAGGCATCCGCATCTCAAGGTTATGCGGTGGCATGAAGTCAATGGGCCAGCAGTTGGAGCCAGATCTGAAGGCACCTTGCAGCGGAAACTCTTCTGGCTCAGCCTCCCAGATCATGGACAAAATTTGGAAGTTGCCATGGAAGGTGCCCTTGCAATCCGCTTGGCCGCGACAGCGAAACTTCAGCTTGACAATGTCTAGGAGCGAGCAGTGCGAAACCTGCCTGCCAAAGGAATACTCTGCACCATAATGCAAATCTACGAGAAGAGGTGGAAGCCGTTGATAAAATGCGTATTGCCCATCCAATAACGAGGACGACTCTGATTCGCAACGCGAACATCCTTGCGGTATCAATGCACTAGCCACGGAATGGCAGGTTGCTGCGCAGTCTAGTAGGGGCTGTAGCCGAACATGGAATGGAATTGCAGGGTCAAGGCTGACCCCAACATAGCAAAAGTGCTCTAAATCCACGTGTAGCCCAGTCCTGTCCTATGCCACTGAATCAACATAATCGACCTTTCCTGTGACATTATCTCTCCTCCACACGCGAAAAGCCTTCCGTGGCCAGTGCATAGCATCATCCGGCAACGGAATGAGCAATGAAGCTGGCATAGAGAATGTGATG